ACTAGAGATCTCAGCCCAGTGGTCTCAGGAACAAGCTAGGACAGTGAAAAGACAAGCATGAGGGGGACAGGATGGGCCATCTTTCATACCAAAGGGAAGACCAACTCCTCTCCATGCATCTGAGCAAGCCCAGGATGTTAATCAGCTTCTCCTCTCCCCAATTTCTTCATCAGTCCCTTTCCTCTTAAAAAATTCTTTTCCACATCAGCTTTCCTTACCATTACATCCTGCAGCTCAGCATGTACCTAAGCTAAAAGCTCCTGAGAGCATTTAAAGGCACAGGATTACATTTCAGTAAGCAGTAAACTGAGACTGTGATCAAGGTTCTCCACTTTATGCAAATATGCAGTGCTGGTTAAGTGATTATGCAAAGCCAGCCCCAAACTGGATAAACTGTAGTGCTTATTATCACAGTACCATTCAGGTAATGTTGAACCATGCGCTCTGTTTCTATGGTCTTTCCCTCCACAGTATTCCGATTTCCAAGCTAAAGAAGAACACACAAAAAAGAAACCCAACCAAAAAAAAAAAAAAAACAAAACCCAAACAAACACAAAAACAGATCAATGAATCCATCCCATTTCCCCAGAACTTCCCGATGTATAAGTCTTGACCCAAACCCCCTTCATGGAGCTACTGTACTGCCTTCAGCAACTAGCAACTGCCTTGCATCTCTGGAGACATTCAGCTGCACCAAGGCTTTTCCAGCACAAAAGCCTCAGCCAAGTAAAAGTAATTTCCTTGTGTCCTTCCTCTCCATCACTCTCACACTCTGAACAAGCAATAGATTGGCCCTGAAGATGCTGCTGGGAGGAAGGAACTTGGGCAATACAAGATTGATTCAGCAGCTTGGCACCCTGCACAGAAGCACTGAGGAAACATGACCTGTATTTGTTGGAGGAGAGGAGACTCAAAGGTGACCAAGGTAAAACATAACTCTAAAGATAATGCATGAGACAGTATGAAACTATTTAGGGCTATATCAAATGTGGGAAGCAGGTAGCATAAATGAAAAAGCTCCGGAAAGGTCAAGCCTTGGAGGAAGTGAGCAAGAATCTCTTCATGAAGAGGAGAACTGATCTGAAACAGCCTCTAGCCAGAGGCAGCCAGGGAAGAAAAATCAAGTAAATAGCTTTGAAGGAATTGGAGGATAGAATTCATCTCATTTTAAGCATTGAAAGATGAAGCTAGGCTTGTCATCCAGGCTCCCTCAACAGTAGAGAGAAAGACACATTAGAGTACAAGTAATTCTGACTAGCAGTGAAAGTGCCTGTTATCATGGATCCAGGAACTGGCTCCAGCATGCTCAGACAGATGAAGTTAAGTGAGGATAATCTCAGTCTTAATCACTGCAGCGCTCCTGAGAAGGTGACAAACATTTGTCAACATGAATTTAACCAGGTGTCTCCTTGAAGTGGCACCCCCCCAACATGTTTTAAGAGATCCACTATGTGGATGTGAGGCTGGCCAAATGCCAACTTCAGATAACCAGCAAAGATCAGCAAAAAAACAAACCGAACCAAGATGGTATTTACTAGCCTTTAAATACCTAGGGCTTTTATTGAAAAAACAGATGAGAAAAACACAAGGAAAAATGATGAATACTAATGCACTAAATGATGAAAATACATTATCTTTGATTCCTCCTTGCCTGGATCTATAACAATTTCAGAAGGAGTGATTAGGTTAGGAGATAAATTTCATTTATTCCTGATAAAAGAACAATGATATATTTTTTGACAAGTGTTCTTCAATATGCCACCTGGCTAGTTCTAGTAACAGATAATAAAAATGAAATATGATAGGATTCCTAAGAAGATCCCAGCAGTTAACAGGGGAAGCCATTTCATAACTCTTTCTTTGGAGGTACCTGGATTTCCCAGGATAACAAGAACATTTTAATCAGTCCTTTTACAAAGTGTGTGGGGTAACTTCAGGATGCAGCTTTGTTCCTGTCTTAGCTGTAGACATTGCTTAAGAATCAGCAAAGTAATATCAAAGACATTTAGCTGGATGAAGGCAAATTGCTTCTAGAGCTAAGTAGCAGTGGAAAGTGTTAGTGTAGGTAATCACAGAAGGAAAGACAGGGTGAGATTTACTGTGAGCACCAAAGGCTTGAAGAGAGTTGCAGAAAGGAAAAGCATATCAACATCAGGCTTCAGATTCCAGTCAGCAAGAAGGAATTTTCTCTGCTTTGCCATGAGACAGCACCATACTAGGAGCAAAGGATAAAGTGTTTTCAAGCTTTCTCTTATCCTATGAATTTATCATTACTGGAAACTAGCTTGACTCCAACTGTCCAGGGTCTAGTTCTTATTTTAGCTATACAGATAAATGTGGTTTCAGCTCTTTGTGACCCATGGACCTAGCCTGGTCATAGACCCAGTCAGTAGACCCATAGACCCACTGTTCTCTAAGCAAAGGTCTTGCAAAGCCCAAATTCTGTTAGCTCTCTGTGGATTTACATTGCACGGTGACTTTTATGGGATGCCATGAAAGCTGGCTGCGAAGAAACAATATACATGAGACACTTAACTAAAACATCCTTCTGTGTATCAACTCTATACATTAAGATACCAAGAGAATAAAATGCATCAGATCTGCTACTTCTTAGGTCAGTTTCTGTTGGCCTTTGTCTTTTGTATTCATTTCTCCTTGCTTTTCAGATGCATTTGCACCTTCCTAACAGAGCTTCTCCACCACTAAAACCACAGTATAATCACACTGTAAAGGAGCCAACAGAACAGAAATGCTATGAAAAATGGGAATGATTGTGCAACACATAAATCATAGATAGAATATTTTCTCTCTGCCTTTGTACAGATCCCATACATCACCATGACTCAGTGCAGTTCTCCCAGTGGGGACAAATTTCAACTTCTAATGCACTTTCCATCTGATTCCTCCATGATAACAGATGGATCACTGTCCTAAGATATTGCATTTTGAGAGTAATACATTAAACACCTCTGTGTTTCAGAACAATTTGGTTTGGGTACCCAGTACTAGTCCCATTTCCATCCTAATCCCATATCCCAGTGGTTTAATTGTGCATTTTACCACTGATGAGAAAAAGGCCGCCCTCAAGTCCAACGGCTCTTACCTTGCCTTCCCTCTCCTCTCATTTCCCCGATTGTTTCACCAATCTTCCTGGATGTGATAAATCATGTAAATTTAATTTAGAGATTATACCCCTGGCTTTGACAGCAGACAAGGTTAGTTCTCTGCTTGTAGCCTGCTAATCTTATACAATTCCTCTATTCCCACTTGGCTGAACTCTTACTAGGGAGTTAGGGGAGAGCAATATCTACTCTATAAAGCATTAGGGACTTCTGTTGGACACTTGCAGATGGCATCCTGGCCACCTTCCAAACTCTCATACTGCTGAGTAAGGTCAAATGCTGTAATCCCAAGGTTTCCGTAAGCCCCGCTGTATCGCAAACTTTATCTCAGCAGTACAAAGCTGGTGCTGCTGTTTCCAAACTCTTTGCAGCCTTTCCAATCAGTTACAAATTTCTCTCGGCTACAGCATTCTTTCAAAGACTAAGCAGTTCCCAAGTCCATTGCATTACCTCCTTGACCATGCTTGCCTGTGGTTGTTGCCGCCTTCTTTCTGTAAAACTGAAGGCCAACACTCCTTCACTAAAGCACTAGAAGACCTACAGAGGTGTATGTCATAGAGGGATTCCTGCTATCTGCGAGAAAGCACTGCTTCTTGCCTATAAGAGCCTTTGGCCCCAAGCTGAGGGTCACAAACAGTGACCAGCACATTATCCATGCAATCTTTCCTTTTATCTATAAAGTCCCTCTCTAAGGAAACATGGAGCACTAGCAGGGGATTAAAATCGGCTGTCTCATGGGCATCCCAGGCAGATACCATTCGTCTCCTTTCCTAATATTTCCTTTAGGTTTGGACAGTTTTCATCAGGTTTATCCCTCTTGCTCTTTCCCACATCTGAGCAGTTCTCAACTTTGGCAGGCACAGAAACAGCAATTTTATGACATGCATTTTTTAACGTAACAAAACATGTTTTTTCATGTTCTTTTGATTCATTTTTTAAAATGCAGATTCCACCCTCTCAAGGTTAATAACTTTCCCACTTTAGCTGAATGTGGGACAGCTCCAGATGTTGCTGAGAATTTTTAAACAAACCTCTCATCTCCAGAAATTGGCAGGGAAAAAACAGCCTCTTAGATACCCCCTAAACCATGAGAAATGGCTGGATCTCTGCAAGGTGGCACAGAGTGTTCTTTGATGCTGACAGTCTGACGTATTTGATGGAAGTTTATGTGAAGTTATTATAGTCATAAGAGCTCAATAGCAACCACCCAGAAAATTCACACTAGCATCTCTTTACGGCTTAGAGTATCATGCATACAGAAAACACACTGAAACCAGATGCTGACCTCAGATAAGGGGAATGTTATGTGCTGCTTAACTTAGTAAGTCAATATTTGTACATCCAACAGTAAGAAGAAACTGTGTCTAGACAAAAGCCTATGTGCTCTTTGCTGGGTGACCATCTGAAGTGGTCCTTATGGAAAAAATGTCAGGGAGGGAGGGAGGAAACCATCATTTCAGCCAGCCCTGATCACCCAGGACTCTTCCAGATAACTGCAGCAGGATAGCGCTCACTGCTGCCTTGCCACAACATCAGAGGAACAAGGTGATTTGCAAGAAATTTGCATGTTTGCTTTGATCTTTCACACAAACTAAGTAATGTCACTCGATTTTAATCAAGCTCTTCAGAGCCTTAGACCACACTTTTAATGCACTGATGTGAGGCATCTCAGCTTGTTTCAAGCTTCACGCACAAGAAGCTAAAAATTCTCTTACTCTTTCCTTTCCTCCCTTCAATTTGATGAAGAAAATGATGAACAAGCAAAAAAACATTTTTTTTACCATTTCCAAAGTGGATTTCTCTGGTATCTACCTATTTATTTTCATAGGAATTATGAATTTTTAGGAAGGATTTTAATCTGAAAGGAAGGAAACTTACCGGACAGGACTGAAGATAGCATCCTATGGATGGGGAAAGGCTGCGATCAGACACAGTAGAGAGTAGAGAAGTCAAATTTTGCAGTGTGGTAGAGTACAGAGGAGCACACGAGGAACCCAGGTCAACAGCATCAGTAGAAGGATGGAGGGCCTAGAAAGCAAAAGCAGGACATTTTTGTTTAAATATCCACACAGCAGACTCATAAGCCCAAGCCAATGTCTCAGCTGAGCAGGTAAAATGGCACCTTCATACGTTTTCAGCCTAGCTTCCTTAGTAAAGCCAGCAGTTGAGCACGTGTAGGTTAGTAACCCCTTTTAGATTCTTCTGGACAATTTAAACCACTTTTGAAAAGGGGAGAAGAATCTCAAAGATATCCAAATCACATTTACACACCTTTAAAACACCTCCAGGGATAGGGACTCAACCACTTTCCTGTGCAACCATCAACAAAGACAACTTCTAACATTTTCTCACTGCACAGTGTACATAACTATGGATCTAGATGCTCCCTGAGCTAGGCTAATCCCTAATTAGTTTCAGGAAAGTTTTATGGGTGTTGTGGGTCATTTGCTAACAAGGGAAGGATGGTGGAAGAAAATAAACCCAAGCCAGAGACTGTAAAGCAGTGCATTACTAGGCAAACATGCTGAGGAATAAACATGACAGGATTTATCACAGTGCGTCACGATTTGTCACGGTAGTGTTCAAAACTAAGTCAGTTTTAAGGCCAAGTTGTTCTCAGATTCTGCTCTCTTTACTCAGAGCAGCTGATCTCTCTCAGAATCCTTTGGAAAACCCCCCAGCTTTGCAGCTTCTTCTATCTTCCATTCTCCTCCATTTTTCCAGGGAGGAGGAGAAGAGCTGTGCTATCTGGGGACAGCTTAACCAGATCATAGAACTTGAATAAGTCATATTATTTTCCCTCGACTCCACACTCAGCTCACCAGCAACTGGATGTGATGTCACCAGTGAGGCAAGCCGAGTGATAACTGAGAAGTGGTAGCAAACTGTAAAGAGAGCAACAGGGCTAAGAAAGCCACTGTGCCCTGAGCTCAAGGAGGGCTCACAAGGGCCCCCAGAACTCACTCAATATGTCACCTTTGTTGTGCAAGGAAAACAACTTCTAATACCCTGGATCTTTGTTTGACACTTCAGTGTCAATAGATGCAGATAAACATTTAGAATCTGAGCAAACCAGCCTCTCTGCAAAACACCGCATTTTCCAATATAGCAAACCATAAACTTCACAGAGAACAAAGGACAAAATCTCTGTAAAGGAAATACCGGAAAATTGTGAAACCACCCTTTAAAAACATATTGAAGACATGAAAATGAATCACATTAAACGGTCACAAATTACATCTAGATCCCTCACAGAAGGGCTATTATGACCTCAGCAGTGAAGATCTCCACAAACCTGAAAGCAGAGTTAATGACTATATTATTACTGAGCCACACTGAATTTCAAAGGGTGTTTGCATAGGATGTTACAGAAAGAGAAGGAAAAGAATAAGCAGAAAAGAAAGTCCTTCCCTAAAAGCCACCTGATGTAGAAATATCATCTTGAAGTTAACCCCTATTAATTTTTAAGGTGGAATTTTAAATAGAATGATAATTTTTTTACAAAGTTTGACAAAAGTCTTCCTCTTGCCAGTTCAGCATTTAGACAATTTTGCCTATGAAAAAGTCTTATTTTGAGTAGCAGCCCTGGACAGCAATGAAGCTGAATTAGGATAAATTTAAATGAGTCAGAAAACCATCATGCTTAGGTGAGAATGAGGTCCTCTCAGGGGCTGGTGTTTAAACTGCCTCTGAGATTTCTAAAGGAAGGACACTGCTCTGCATTGCTCTTTACAGGAAAGTCAATAGCCTGAAGAAAGATGAATTATTGTTCATAACGTCTGCAAAGGCTTTTATCAAAAAGTATCATATTGACAGGGCATTTGAGGTTAAGCATTCTGAGTTTAGTTTCCCTTCTAGCCTATTTCCAATTGCTGGGAAAGCTGAATAAAAACAAGAGGTATCTGTGTGAATGCATGAAAGTCACAGAGCAAAAAGAAAGGCAGTAGCACTTCTCCCAGTGCCTGGAAACCACTCAGCCTTACAAGAAACAGCAGCAGCCAGAATCTTGCATATAGTTGTGCCTTGTCCATGTTGTATCCAACAGAAACAGACGCTGTTTTAGGGCAAGTCAAGGTCACTTTAAAGTTGGATGCCCAATGCTTCACAGAACCCAGCATGGACAGCAGCTACTTGTCCCTTCCCAAGAGCTCCCTGTGACCTTTAAGGCTGTGAAGCTTCATTTTAGCAATGCCATGAACGACTCAACCAGCACAGCAGTTTCAAGTAGTGCTTCAGAGCCTAGAGCCCTCCTGGGAACTGAAAACAGCTCTCTGGACCAGAGGCAGAATGGTACAAAGAGCCAGACAGATGCTCAGTACAAGAGCAGCCAGCAGATGGTCACTAAGGGAAGGCAAGAGGGCTACGTAACAAAGTGCTCACTTCTAAGTTTTTTAATTATATTTTTATACCTAAATTTGCTGAATTTAATTATTTTCCTGTTACTGAAGGTTGCACTGTCCAGGTACAAGCTTCCTTAAGAACAGCTTGTACTGCTAAGGGAGTCAACTGCATATGGGTTTGTTTAGAAGCCAGTAAAAAATCATAGCCCCAATATGTTTTGTAGCCTCAATAAGCAGCAATGACCACATACACTACCCAAGCCACAAAACCCTCTACTCCATATGAACATTTAACTAACCCAACCTATACTTCTTATAACAGATCAATGCATTTGTCAGAAACAATTTGCTCAGTTTCTACCCTCAAAACACCAGTGTAAGGAAGCAATGCTTGAAGTGCCTGCAAACATTTTGGTGATGGGGAAAAATTGCCGTAGAAATAAGGGACAAAAAAAAACAATAAAACAACAAAACCCAGGTGTGGAGCAAACCTCAGGTCAGAAGAATGATAACCCTTTAAGCACCTCATTAACTGAACACTCAAAAAAGTTAAATTTCTGCTGCAGCTTCTGCTCTCAAGAGAAGTAACAAATTGAACCCCACCAAAATTTAGTGGAAATATTATTCCTATTTTACAGCTAGGGATGATGAGGCACAGAGCTGTGAAATGATCAACATCATAGGCTGAGAAAGTTGGGGCTGTTCAGCCTGGAGAAGAGAAGGTCACAGCAACCTTCCAGTATCTGAAGGGAGCCTATAGGGATGCTGGGGAGGGACTCTTCATTAGGGACTGTAGTGATAGGACAAGGGGTAATGGGTTAAAACTTAAACAGGGGAAGTTTAGATTGGATATAAGGAGGAAATTCTTTACTGTGAGGGTGATGAGGCACTGGAATGGGTTGCCCAGAGAGGCTGTGGATGCTCCATCCCTGGCAGTGCTCAAAGCCAGGTTGGACAAAGCCTTGGGTGGTATGGTTTAGCGTGAGGTGTCCCTGCCCATGGCAGGGGGGTTTGGAACTGAATGATCTTAAGGTCCTTTCCAACCCTAACTATTCTATAATTCTATATCTTCTATTTAACTATTTCTATCTAACCCTTATACTCCCTTGCTTTCCCTCTAGAAAACAAGGAAAGGAGACAGGAAAGGTCTTCTCAGGAAGGCTGTGCCACTGGGTAGGTGCAGAATTAGCAAAGCAGGGTACGATCACTGAGCACAAGCAGAAGCCCCACAGGAAAGACCCTTACTGTGCCTGAAAGGGAGACAGCTGTCAACAGCTGCTGGGGACAAAGCTCTACATATGGTAACACCAAAAAATCCACCCTAGAGACATGGCATTTCAGTAGGAACGAGTCGTGTTTTTACTTTGCATTGTAATTCAGCTGTAATTCCAGTTAAAGGATATGGAGCAACTGGAGTGTTTGGAGGGGGTTTATTTTAACAACATGAATCATACTGGACATAAGGACATCTGAGCCCAGCCTAAATTCCCCTCAAGCCCAGTGCTTCCTACTAGCTAAACACAGCTTTAGTAAATTGGGCCATTCAGTGCCAACCTAGGGACTGCAAGGCTAATAGAGATAGGTGAATATTAAACCAGATTAACAGATCCTAATATCTGCATCTCATTAATTCCAACATTTGGATTACTCTAAAAATGCCCCCTATATCTGCTAGCAGTGCACTGCCATGGCCTGTGTGGAAATGGTTCATGGAAGACCTGAAACAAAAGTAGAGCTTGAACCACAGTCAAAAAGATTTGAACACAAAAATTGCTGTTTACTACAATGGCCCAATGCCCCTGGGAAGTAATGATGCATCAGGGTAGAGGACAGGGGACAAGAGGTGGGCAGCAAGAGGCTTAAAGAGCTTCCAGGACAGCAGGGGACTGTTAACTGATTCTTCTTTGTTCACATCATGACTGAAGCATCACAACCTTCATGCAGCAGCTCCTGTCAGGAGGGCTGGGCTACCACAAGTACATCCAAGTTCTGTCTCTGTTGGTCTAGATCCTTAGTCCTTACCTTCAAGTTCAATGTCACACACCTATGCTACCTAATAGCCTCCTGAAGGGATCACTGCAGCTGTGATCAGCAACATCTCATGTGTGTAGTTAACAGCTTCCCTCTGCTCTGCCTAATCACTGTGGTATTAACTCTCATGAGACATAATAATCCTCACAAACCAAATTTTTCTTCCATGCTAGAGGGATAATTTTGTGGTTTTTTTTTCCTTTTTTACCTGGCCTTTTCCTAGCAAATATTTAGCCTCCCATGTGCACATATTTAAAAAGAATTCCTAACAAATCACTCAACGGAAAGTAATATTCCCCTGAGGAGGGAATGAGAGAGCAACACCTGCCACATGTGAGTCACACTATTCGCTGCACTCCTGGATGGCGCTTGGATACTGCAGTGCTGGGAACAGGGAAGGGCTCGGGGTAGGACACAATTACCTACGTTACATTAACTTAATTTTCGTTCTGTTTTCCTGCCAGGTTCATTGCTGCAAAATCAAAACTGATGAGGTTTTGTGGAAGTGGTTTGCAAGGTGAGAGGAAGGCAGAACAAGGTAAAGAAAAACTAACACCGGTTTTGCTGTTTATGTTCACCTTTGCCGTTTCAAATCTTTTGCATACCAATGGCTCTGGTGGTTGTTATAAAAATATTACTGCTACTTTTCTATATCTG